AACAGTTAGTTACCGTTTCATATCAGTCATGCTAAGTTATACATGACTTTCTTTATCCAACTGTAGTTACTGTTTCATATCAGTCATGCTAAGCTACACACGACTTGCCTTATCCAACAGTAGTTACTGCTTCATATCAGTCATGCTAAGTTACACATGACTTTCCTTATCCAACAGTAGTTACTGTTTCATATCAGTCATGCCAAGGTACACATGACTTTCTTCATCCAATAGTCCTCACTGCTAATCTCGGGTATCAAATGAACCATTTAACAGCGTATCACTGGCCGTTAAAATGAACCATTTAACAGCGTGTCACTGGCCGTTAAATTGAACCATTTAACAGCGTGTCATTGGCCGTTAAAATGAACCATCTAACAGTGTATCACTGGCCGTTAACACCATATTTTCGCCAAATGTACGGCAAGCATCCCTCCACTTAAAACCATGTCCAGTTTCAATGTCCTTGTCGGTCGGATCTATGAACTCAAATCGAACCATCGGGCAAATACCGCCTTCTGTGCTTATGCGTGTAATCATAAGTCTGAACACAACACGACCTTCGAACCAGCACCAGCCTACAGTCAGTGCTGCTACATGATTCGATACGTCCAGCAAGTGCCTGAACTCTGGACACACCCAATTTTTCTTTTCTTTTTTGGGAGTGGCGGAGAGGGGTCGACAGCCCCACACGTGTCCCAATCGATGACTCAACACCAGTCCAGTACTGTGACAACAGGTGCACACCCCTCGGTGTGCTACTAAAGCGCCTATGGCTTTCGCTCCGTTGTAGCTGGTGTGAGCGTAGTTCACTGGCGATGGTATGATAATTAAAGGGCTTTGAACCTGACCCACGACGCGTGGGCACAAACGCCTGCCCCAAAACAGAAGTCGCAGGGCCGATGTCCTACAAACGCCTGCCCCAAAACACAAGTCGCAGGGCCGTTGTCCAAACGGTCCACGCCCTGCAGGAAGGTGCCCTTGAGCCTCGAGCAATTCGGTAGCAATCGCCGATATACGAAGAGGTGCATCATACAGACTATACTATGCTATACCAGACCTGACCTAATCCAGACCCTCAACCCCTGCGTCGCCGTTTGCTGCGGCCAGTGGCACTGACAGCGACAGGCGACTGCAGTCCATGGGTCTTCCACTTCTCACCGCCGTAATCGACTTCCTGGACATCACCCAGCTGTTCAGGACGCAGCAGGCAGAGGCATTAGTGGTTGCTAGGTTACGTCGTTGCCCTGGTTATCATGAACGAACACGATCAACGGACAGGTGTAGTGCATCGAGCGGACGGACGTTGTGTACGATGCGGAATTCAGAACGTGTACATACAGACAACAGGGGGACGTTGAACACGACAAACGGGCCATGCAGATGGATATATATATATATATCTAGGCTTCCCGTATGTATCGACCAGTACTCTACCTGAACAATGCATGTTGGTACTGATATATGTAGGCACCTTCGTTATAAGTGTATACTAACCGGGACTGTTGGACCTAAATACGGGTGCAGCATACGATTTCTATACATCGGATCGGTGGAATAGAGAAACCATGGAAGACAAATCGGGGAGTGCATGAACAAAGTCCATAGAAGGTACAAGCACGTGACACACGAATGCACACACGCGTTTGATACCAGATAACTTACTTTCGCACCCGCCGGCCGCCTACCACTGAGCCACGACTCCTCAGAGACTATATCCTCCATGGCTACCCTGTGGGGTGGGTGTAAGTTGTAAGCAGGGGCTGTGATGAATGGCTATGCTACGGTGTGCTGATTAGGATGGAGGCCCATATAATTGCACGACTACGCCAGCACAAGGTGTCTATCCACACTTGAATGCGAGTCTTGTGGTTGGTGATGAGAGAGTGTGTGTTTCAGCTACCAGGCGTGCGACGAGAGCGCGACTGCTCTATTGCACTGCCGAGGGGATACCTACACACATACACACTCATGCACGCATGCCCCTCTACTAAAGGCTCTAATATAGCTACACAATCATACCACTTACATGCCCACATATATACTGTTCATACGTCTATATCCACACCACATACTTGTACTGCACAGATGGCAATACAGGCACACAACACTTGTATACGCACATGCGTACTAGTCATATGCTTGTAGCTTATATCCACACCACATACTTGTACTGCACAGATGGGGTATCGTCAAACACCACGTGATAGCGACTGGCGCGTTCCACCCGCACACACGTTCCCATCTGAGCGCTCTGTCGGGTGCGTTTGTATCCTTTAGCGGGCAGGGCGTACATCGCAGACACTCTGTCCGCGTGCTTGACTTCTTCGGGTACTGGAGTGCCAAAGGGTATAGAGTTAAGGGTCTAGGGTCTAGGGTTAGGATTGAGGCTATAAAAAGGACGGGTTGGCGGGGTTACGCGTGTGAGATGAATCAGACCAAGAGACGATAACTGCCGAATAGCGCAGGACCTGAGTACGTCATGAGCTAAGGAGTGGTTGTACAGGAACCGGATATTTCCAAGAAAAGACTGCTGAAACAGGGGGTCTACATAGGTCATATCTAACCGTTGCAGCTGGACGATATAGCATAGAGCACTCGCACTCATCACATACACACGTGCACGCACCTACCCGCCGTTGAGCCGAACTTAAAACGCCCCCACCCACACAAATAACGCAACTATGCACCCCGAGCACAGTAATACACACGCCACACAAAGCACAATCACACACACGCACACACACCACACATAGCAGAATCATACACACACACACACACGCCACACATGGCACAACCACACACAAATACACAACACATAGCAGAATCATACACACACACACACACGCCACACATAGCACAATGAATGGCCTATAGCTAGCTCTACCGATTTGTTCGCCGTCCCGGGTACAGGTGAGTAGTTTGGTGCTGTTTAAACGCACAGGAGGCATGAGCTCGTGGTTGTTGTCAAAACGAATCCAGACATCTGTCACCTCAGACGATCGTATCACCGTAGCAATGTACCAGAACCTGCAGGACACCAACCAACGGATGAATGAGATACCCACCAACGGATGGATACATACACAAACCAATGAATGAATACATACGCAAACCAAAGGATGAATACATACGAAAACCAATGAATGAATACATACGCAAACCAAAGGATGAATACATACGAAAACCAATGAATGAATAAATACACAAACCCGGGAATGGATGATATACCAGAGCACATACGAAAACCAACATAGCTGTGTGAAAGATTAAGGTTAGACCCCGAAGTCACTCCGGTAGCTACGGACAGCGACGTAAAACCTCGCATGCAGAAGTATATACAAAAATATAATCCAAGGGCAAATAGACACCGACTACGTGCTAGTACTAATACACAGTTACTGGATAACTACAGGCTGGTTGCTAAGCAACGCACTGGTGGGAATACTCACCTTTCCTTAGATAACACACATGTTAATAACAATTTATGGTCAACTACAGGCTGGTTGCTAAGCAACGCACTGGTGGGGTTACTCACCCATCCTAAAATAACACACATGCTAATAACAGGTAACGGTCAACAACAGACTGGTTGCTAAGCAACGCACTGGTGGGGTTACTCACCCATCCTAAAATAACACACATGCTAATAACAGGCAATGGTCAACTACAGACTGGTTGCTAAGCAACGCACTGGTGGGAATACTCACCTATCCTTAGATAACACACATGTAAATAACAATTAATGGTCAACTACAGACTGGTTGCTAAGCAACGCACTGGTGGGACTACTCACCCATCTTTAAAGAGTGCGTACGCTCTGTCATTCGCCCTCAGATGATCCGGGTGTTCGGGCGGCTTTTCGACCGTCTGTATTGACACAGTCGGAGTAGGCTATTTAGTACGATGATAGGCATAAGAAGTGAGAGGATGTTGTGAGATGTCGTATGTACACCGGCTGTATTGACACAGTCGAAGTAGGCCATTTAGTACGATAATAGGCACAAGAAGTGAGAGGATGTTGTGAGATGTCGTATGTACCCCGTCTGTCCCACATAGGCAATGGAAACTACACTATAAACTACACCCCCGCCCCACCACTCCAGACCCTCATCACTCGCCACAACAGCAGAGGCCCTGAACACCTCTTTTAATCGGTTCACAAAGTCAGTGGTACGTGAATGCGTGCACACCGTAATAACCCACAACAGCAGAGGCCCTGAACATCTCTCTTAATCGTTTCACAAAGTCAGTGGGTGCACAACGAAACAATCCAGTACGATCGCATACTCCGTCCTGCAACACAATACGGACTCACCGAACAGAAGAACCAACCACCGAGTGGGATATACAACACAGCAACACCGATACCATACCTCAACCAGCTTCCTATGCACAGGTATATGCCGTTCATTGCAATAGTACGCCAGAGCCCTGAAGTCGGGATACTGAGTGCGGTCAACAAGCACGTTCTGGGCCTCCTGGGCATTACGTTGTGCACACATGACATGAACAGCTATAGTGCATCGACCACCGTAGCACTGGATGCACGCACCATTGTTCTTGCCCTTCTGCCGAGACTCGTCCGCCTTGGCGCAGATGCGGCATTTCTGTGGCATTTTGGGGGTAGGCGCAAACAGGGGGCAGGTTTAAGATGCGGGTGGTGTGTGGTATATGTATATGAAAATTCATATGATTCTAGATAATGGAAAAGGATGTGACCCCTACTTACTAAAAACTATGTGTTATGCTTATTTAAGACAAAACGAAGCATTGGATACGATGATATAGTAACGTTAACATAAGCACATCATACTATTACACATCATATACATGTGCACATACATTAAAAATGCATGTTTCCACATACCTACGCTTACCCGGATTTCCCGAAAGAGCTGAGAAATGTGATTATTGACGTATGCGCGGCAAACAACAGAAATATGCCCACACCGATATATATATACATACATATATATATATATATATATAATATATAATATGTATTACATACATACATACATATATAC